GGGTTCGGTGATTCCAATAAAAATATAAAAAATAGTAATACAGCAAAAAATAAAAATGAAGGTTATAAAGAAATATAAATGATGAAAATAATTATGAGAAAAGCGATAAAAAAATATACGAAACAGAAACCTCTAGCAACCGAAAAACACATAAGTATATCACTTTTTAAAAATAACATATGAGAAAATAAAAATAGCAGATATGGTGAGTATTTGCATCGCTCGGCAACAAATGAATTCGTAGATCAAGTTCTTTGCCAAAAGTCAATCAACAGAGCCGAGAGTCATGGCCAACCCACCCATAAACTTTTAATAGCGTCGTAGTCCTCCTGACAAAACTTAATAGATAGATAAATAAAACAAATAAGAAAATATATAAAGATGTGGGTAATTACTTAATATAATTTTGGTGATCTTACAGCAATTACAACTAAATAAAGCGATACTCTGGTATTGATAACTTTTTACTTTTCACCTCAAGAGTAGGTGATTAAAATAGAAAAATACTTCTACTATTTAAAGGGGATGTAGCTCAGTGGTAGAGCATTCGACTGCAGATCGAGAGGTCCCTGGTTCAATCCCGGGCGTCCCCTCAATTACTATTAATATTTTCTTACTTTCTTTCTTTTATCCCTCATTTTTCTTTATCCTCTTTTCCTCTTTCCCTGTTTTTTTTTCTCCGTTTTTTTGTTTTGTTTTGTTTTTCCTCTTTTCCTTTTTTCCCTTTTTTCCCTTTTCCCTTTTCTTTTTCCGTTTTCTTTTGTTGTTTTTTCCGTTTCTTTATCATTTTCTTTTTCTTTTTCCTTTTCTTTTTCTTTTTCTCGTTTTCTTTCCTTTTGCTATTTCATTTCTTTCCTATTTTTTTTCCTTTTCCTATTTCGTTTCTCTTCTTTTCTCTTCTTTTTTTTTCTTATAGTCAAATGTCATCACGCACCATAAGATCACTCTCTGGCAAAATTATAGTCTAGTTAATGAGTTACAAAAATACTATAGGAATACAAAATAGGGAAACTAATGAAAGAGAAAAACGTATGAATGAAAAATGATAACAAACTAATAATATGATAACAATTATAATAAAAGTAATAATGATAATTACAATCATTACTATTATTATTATTATTATAATCATTATTATCATTATAACAATAACGATAATAAAAAATATGATAACATTAGCAATAATGACAAAAATTACACTTATTATAATCATAAAAGTATTTATTATATCAGTAATACGAATGGTAATAGTAATTATAACTATAATGGTTAATTACAATAAAAATATCAAAATAAGTAATAAAGAAAAAAATTATGAAGGTTACAAAGACATATAAATGATTACAATAATAATGAGAAAAACGATAAAAAATATAAAAAGAAAGTGAAACCTCTGCCAACCTCAAAACACATAAGTATAACAATTTTTTTAAATAAAATATATAAAAAAAACATCTACTAGCAGATAACGAATTCTTTGGTTGCAAGCAGAGTTCCTTCGTGGATCAAGTTCATTGCCAAAAGTCAATCGACAGAGCCAAGAGTCATGGCCAACCCACCCATAAACTTTTGCCAGTCTCGTAGTCCTGCTGACAAACTTTTAAGCAGACAGATAAATGCAACAATTAAGAAAATAGAGGTAGATGTAGACAATTACTTAATCTCATATTGATGGAGATATTAACAACATCAATTACAACTAATGGTAAATGGTAACAGTAATAACACAAGATAGATGGGACTCATGTCAGAGAAGTAAGGAGTATGTGAAGAGAAAGGCCTATATTGGCAGTTAATCTACCCTTGGAAGCGCAATAACGACACTATGGTATGATAATGCTTTACTTTTCACCTCGAGAGTAGATAATTAAACAAGAAAAAATACTATTGATATGTTAAGGGGATGTAGCTCAGTGGTAGAGCATTCGACTGCAGATCGAGAGGTCCCTGGTTCAATCCCGGGCGTCCCCTCAAATACTATTTTTATTTTCGATTTATCTCTGTTCCCAGAAAGAGACAATCCCTACAGAATTTTTTTTTTCCCGTATATATTCCAAAAGGAGTATCTGACTGATTTAACATTGGTTAGGCCTTGTGCTCGCTTGTTTTTGAAAGCAGTATTTTTTCCTCATGTTTTTTTTTCACCCTTTTCCTCTTTCTCTTTACCTTTTTTCCTTTTTTTTCTTTTTTTGTTGTTCCTCTTTACTTCCCTTTTCCCCTTTTTGCTTTTTCCCCCTTTTCCCTTTCCAACACGCACCATAAGATCACTTTCTGGCTAAATTATAGTCTAGTTAATGAGTTACGAAAATACTATTGGAATAAAAAATCAGAAACCTAATGAAATAGAAAAACCTATTAATGAAAACAGGATAAGAACAAACTAATGATATTATAATAATAATTGTTATTATTATCATTTTTATTATAACAACAACGGTAACGAAGATAACAGTAACAATAATGATAATGATGATTAAAATGATAATTATAATAGTAATAGCAATAATCATATCAATAATAGAAATGGTGATAGTAATAACTATAATGGCTAGTTAATTACAATAAAGATATCAATATCAGTAATAACAAAGAAAAACTAGGAAATGAAGGTTACAAAGAAATATAAATGATGAAAGCGATAAAAAAATATAAGAAACAGAAACCTCTGGCAACCTCAAAACGCATAAGTATACTATTTAAAATATATATATATATATATATATAATATATATATATATGAATAAACATAACTACTGGCAGATATGACGAATATTTGCATCGCACGGCAATAAATTCTTTGTTTGCAAGCAGAGCTCCTTCGCGGATCAAGTTCATTGCCAAATGTCAATGGACAGAGCCAAGAGTCATGGCCAACCCACCCATAAACTTTTATCTTCTTTTCTTTTCTTTTTTCTTTCATATGTCTTGTATCTAGTTGGCAAATTTATCAACACACAACTGAAGACCACGCCTTACAAAATTTTAGTCTAGTTAATGAGTTACAAAATACTATAGGAATACAAAATAGAGAAGCTAATGAAAGAGAAAAACGCATGAATGAGAAATTATAACAAACTCATAATATAATAATATTAACAGTAATAATGATAATTACTATTATTATTACTATCATTACTATTATTATTATTATTACAACAATAACGATTATGAAAATCATGGTAACATTAGTAACAATGATGATGATGATAATACTTATTTTAATAATAACAGTAATAATTATATCAATGATACGAATGGTGATAGTAATGATAACTATAATGGTTAATTACAATAAAAATATCAAAAGTAATAAAGAAAAAATAGAAATGAAGGTCACAAATATAAATGATGACAAGAATATTGAGAAAATTTATAAAAAAAATATTTTGAAAAATTATATATATATATATTATATATATATATATATATATAATATATATATATATATAATATATATATATATATTATATATATATATATTATATATATATATATAAGAAGAAACAGAAACCTCTAGCAAGCTCAAAGCACATAAGTATACCACATTTAAAAAATATATATATAAGTAAATAACTACTGGCAGATATGATGAATATGTACATTGCACAGCAACAAATTCTTTGTTTGCAAGCAGAGTTCCTTCGATCAAGTTCATTGCCAAATGTCAATCACCAGAGCCAAAAGTCATGGCCAACCCACCCATAAACTTTTGTCAGCCTCGTAGCCAGATAGTCTAGTTAATGAGTTACAAAAATAATATAGGAATACAATATAGTAAAGCTAATGAAAGAGAAAAACATAATGAAAACATGATAAGAACAGATATATCAATAATGATAAATATTATATATGATTCTATATCAAGGGGATGTAGCTCAGTGGTAGAGCATTCGACTGCAGATCGAGAGGTCCCTGGTTCAATCCCGGGCGTCCCCTCATTTACTATTACTATCTTCGATTCGTCTCTGTTCCCAGAAAGACATTCCATACAGAAAATTACTCTTCCGTATATATTCTAAAAGGTGTATCTGAATGACTTAACATTGGTTCGGAAAAGCCTTGTGTTCGCTTGTTTTTGTAAGCAGTATTTGTTTTTATTTTTCTGTTTTCCTGAATTCTTTACTTTTAAGTTATGTTTTGTTTCCCTTTTTCCTCTTTTTTTTCCCTCTAGTTAATGAGTAACAAAAATACTGTAGGAATAAAAAATGAGAAACCTAATGAAATAGAAAAACATTAATGGAAACAGGATAAGAACAAACTAATGCATTAATAATAGTAATTATTTTTTTTCTTGTTGTTACTATGACAATTATTATTATTGTTATAACAACAATGGTAACAATGAAAATATCATATCATATCAGTAATACAAATGGTGATAGTAATAACTATAACGGCTGGTTAATTACAATGAATATATCAATATAAGTAATAACAAAGAAAAAAATGAAAATGCAGGTTACAAAGAAATATAAATGATGACAATAATAATGAGAAAAGTGATAAAAAAAATATTTTAAAAAATTATACATATATATATATAAGAAGAAACAGAAACCTCTAGCAAGCTCAAAGCACATAAGTATACCACATTAAAAAAAATATATATATAAGTAAATAACTACTGGCAGATATGATGAATATTTACATTGCATGGCAGCAAATTCTTTGTTTGCAAGCAGAGTTCCTTCGATCACGGTCATTGGCAAATGTGGAAAAATTTAGGAAAATAGAAAGCGTGGTGGTTCAATGAAGAAGTTCAAGAGAAAGTGAAAGCTGAGAAGGTTGCCAAGAAAAGATGAGAAGAAACCAAACTCAATCAAGATAGAGAAAACTACAAAGAGTACTGTAAGGAGGCAAAAAGAGCTGTAGCAATCGCAAAAGCAAAAGCGTACGATAGTCTATATGAAGAGTTAGACACTGAAGAAGGACAGGGGAAGGATTTCAAGTTGGCAAAGCAAAGAAATAAGAGCACAAAGGATATCAAGCATATAAGACAGATGGAGGATGAAAGAGGAATAGTGTTAAGAAAGGAAAGACAGATTTTGATGAGGTGGAAAGACTACTTTGAGAAGTTACTGAAAGAAGAAAATGAAAGGTTCCCGAGAGGAGACGGAGAACCGAACAACCAAGAGGTAGCAGAAGTGACGAGACAGGAGGTGATCACAGCACTGAAGGAGATGAAGAATGGTAAATATTTGAAAAAAAAAATTCCTTCGATCAAGTTCATTGCCAAATGTCAATCACCAGAGCCAAAAGTCATGGCCAACCCACCCATAAACTTTTGTCAGCCTCGTAGCCAAATAGTCTAGTTAATGAGTTACAAAAATAATATAGGGATACAATATAGTAAACCTAATGAAAGAGAAAAACATAATGAAAACATGATAAGAACAGATATATCAATAATGATAAATATTATATATGATTCTATATCAAGGGGATGTAGCTCAGTGGTAGAGCATTCGACTGCAGATCGAGAGGTCCCTGGTTCAATCCCGGGCGTCCCCTCAATTACTATTCTTATCATTTATTCGCCGCTATTCCCAGAAAAGGACATTCCCTGCAGAAAATACGCCTTACCAAAATAAAGGAATATCTGCCTGTTGGTTCGAAAAAGTTTTGTGTTCGCTTGTTTTTTAAAGCAGTATTTGTTTTTCTGTTTTCCTGGATTCTTTACTTTCAACTTTTCTTTTTTTCTTTTTTCTTTTTCCCTTTTTTTTTTCTTTTTCCCCGATTCGTCGCTGTTCCCAGAAAAAGACATTTTCTACAGATAATCACTCTTTCCCGTATATATTCTTAAAGGAGTGTCTGACTGACCCACTTAACATTGTTTCGGAAAAGCCTTGTGTTCGCTTGTTTTTGAAAGCAATGTGTGTTTTTTTTTTGTTTTTTTTTTCTTCGCTTTTAATTTTCTTTTCTTTTCTTCCTGTTTTCTTTTTCCTTGTTTCAGTTTTTCTCATTTTCTTTTCCCTTTTTCCTTTTTTTCTTTTTGCTTCCTATTTTTCCCATTTTTCCCTTTTTCCTTTTTTTTCTTTCTTTTTTCCCCTTTTCCCTTTTCCTCTTCGTTTTCTTTGTTTCCGTTTATTTTCCTTTTCTTTTTTTCTTCCGTTTCTTTTTCCTTCTCCCTCATTTTCCTATTTCTTTTCTTCCATTTCCATTTTTACTTGTCTTATTTCTTCTTTTCTTTACCTCTTCCTTACAGCCAAATGTCTTTAGTTGGCAACGTTATCAACAAGCACCATAAGATCACTTTGGCTTAATTATAGTCTAGTTAATGAATTGCAAAATACTACAGGAATACAACATAGAAAACCTAATAAAAGAGAAAAACATAATGGAAACATGATAAGAACAAACAGAAGATATGATGATGATAATAATGATAATGATAATGATAATGATAATGATAATAATAATAATATTATCATTATTAATATAATTACTATATATAATTCTGTATTACAGCGGTCATTTAATACAGCGGTCATTTCAGAAGGGGATGTAGCTCAGTGGTAGAGCATTCGACTGCAGATCGAGAGGTCCCTGGTTCAATCCCGGGCGTCCCCTCATTTACTATTACTATCTTCGATTCGTCTCTGTTCCCAAAAAGAGACATTCCCTACAGATAATTACTCTTTCCCGTATATATTCTTAAAAGAGTATCTGATTGACCCACTTACCATTGGTTCGAAAAAGCCTGGTTTTTGAAAGCAGTATTTGTTTTTCCTTCTTTCTTTTTCCTTTTTTCAGTTTTTCTTTTTCCTCTTTTCCCTTTTTTCCCTTTTTCCTCTTTTCCCTTTTCCCTTTTTTTGTTTCCTTTTTTTCCCTTTCCCCTTTTCCTTTTTCCTCTTCATTTTCTCGTTTCCGTTTATTTTCATTTTCTTTTTTCTTTCTTCTCTTTCTTATTTCTTTTCTTTCCTTTTCCTTTTTCTTTTCCCTTTCCTTTTCCTTTTCTTATTTTTATTCTTATCTTATCCTTTTCTTCTGTTTCTTTTCCTTATAGTCAAATGCCTTGTATCTAATTAGCAAAGTTATCAACACGCACCAGAAAATCACTCTTTGGCTTAATTATAGTCTAGTTAAATGCTATAGGAATAAAAGATGAGAAACTTAATGAGAGAGAAAAACACATTAATGGAAATATGATAGGAACAAACTAATTATATAACAATAATAATAATGAGGATGTCAACGAGTGGTGGAACAGAGTGAGTGCAAACATCATCGGAACTGGAAAAGAATTGCTTGGTGAGACTAGTGGAAAAATTTAGGAAAATAGAAAAGCGTGGTGGTTCAGTGAAGAAGCTTAAGAGAAAGTGAAAGCTGAGAAGGTTGCCAAGAAAAGATGAGAAGAAACCAAACTAAATTCAAGGTAGAGAAAACTACAAAGAGTACGGTAAGGAGGCAAAAAGAGCTGTTGCAATCGCGAAAGCAAAAGCGTACGATAGTCTATATGAAGAGTTAGACACTGAAGAAGGACAGGGGAAGGATTTCAAGTTGGCAAAGCAAAGAAATAAGAGCACAAAGGATATCAAGCATATAAGACAGATGGAGGATGAATGAGGAATAGTGTTAAGAAAGGAAAGACAGATTTTGATGAGGTGGAAAGACTACTTTGAGAAGTTACTGAAAGAAGAAAATGAAAGGTTCCTGAGAGGAGACGGAGAACCGAACAACCAAGAGGTAGCAGAAGTGACGAGACAGGAGGTGATCACAGCACTGAAGAAGATGAAGAATGGTAAATATTTAAAAAAAACACTACTAGCAGATATGATGAATATTTGCATCGCACGGCAACAAATTCTTCAGTTGCAAGCAGAGTTCATTCGAGGATCAAGTTCATTGCCAAAAGTCAGTCGACAGAGCCGAGAGTCATGGCCAACCCACCCATAAACTTTTGTCAGCCTCGTAGTCCTCCTGACGAAAATTAATAGACAGATAGATAAAACAAATAAGAAAACAGAAGATAAAGATATGGTCAGTTACTTAATCTCATTTTGGTGTTGAAGATATTTAAAAAATGCAACTACAACTAAGTAATGGTAACGGTAATAACGCACGAGAGAAGAGACTCATGACAGAAAAGTAAGGAAAATATGAAGAGAAGACGTATATCGGTAGTTAATCTACTTTTGGAGGTTCATAACAATACTCTGGTATGATAACTTTTTTTTACTTTTCACCTCAAGGTGATTAAACAAGAATAAACAACTTTATATGAAGGGGATGTAGCTCAGTGGTAGAGCATTCGACTGCAGATCGAGAGGTCCCTGGTTCAATCCCGGGCGTCCCCTCAAATACTATTATTATTTTCGATTCGTCTCTGTTCCGACAGAAAATTACTCTTTCCCGTATATATTCTTAAAAGAGTACCTGGCTTACCCACTTAACATTGGTTCGAAAAAGCCTTGTGTTCGCTTGTTTTTGAGAACAGTATTTGGTTTTCAGTGTTTCTGAATTTTTTGCTTTTAACTTTTCTTTTCTTTTCTTCCTTTTTCCTCTTCCATTCTTTCAGTTTTTCCTCTCCCTCTTTTCCTTTTTTCCCCTTAGTCTAGTTAATGAGTTACAAAATAGGAATAGAAAATTAGAAAGCTAATGATATTACCAACAGCAATTACAACTAAATAATGGTAACGGTAATATCGCGGGAGAGAAGGTACTCATTACAGAAAAACAAGGAATATAAATAGAGAAAAGCCTATATTGGCAGTTAATCTACCTTTGGAGGTACTATAACGATACTCTGGCATGATGATTTACTTTTCACCTTAAGGAGATTAAACAAGAAAAAATCTACTATATGACTGGTAGAGCATTCATTCGAGAGGTCCTTGGTTCGATCCCGGGCGTCCTCTCAATTTCTATTCTTGTCTTTAATTCACCTCTTTTACCAGAAAAAAAAAGACAATTCCTACAGAAAATTATTCTTTCCCGTACATATTCTTATAGGATTATCTGACTGACCCACTTAACACTAGTTCGAAAAAGCATTGTGTTCGCTTGTTTTTGAAAGCAGTAATTTTTTTCCTGAATTCTTTACTGTTAACTTTTTTCTTTTCTTTTTTGCTTTTTTTTAGGTTTTCCTCTTTTCCTCTTTCCCTTTTTCCTTTTTTTCTGTTTCCTTTTTTTTCCTTTTTCCCCTTTTCTCTTTTTCCTTTTCCTCTTCGTTTTGTTTGTTTCCGTTTATTTTCCTTTTCTTTTTCTTTCTCCCGTTTCATTTTCATTTTCCTTTATTTTCCTATTTCATTTCTTTCCTTTCCCTTTCCTTTTTCTTATTTTAATTCTTAATAATTAATAATAATAATTATTATTATTATTATAACAATAACATTGATAATAGTAACAGTAACAGTAATGATAATGGTTATTAAAATAATCATAATAGTACCAGTAATAATTTTATCAATAATACAAATGGTGATAATAAACTATAATGGCTAGTTCATTACAGTAAAGATATCAATATAAGCAATAATAAAGAAGAAATAAGAAATGAAGGTTATAAAGAAATGTAAATGATGACAATAATAATTAGAAAAGCGATAAAAAAAAATATAAGAAGAAACCGAAACCTCCCGCAACCTCAAAACACATAAGTATACCACTTTTTTTTTTTAATCACTTTTTTTAATCACTACTGGTAGATATGATGAATATTTGCATCGCACGACAACAAATTTCTTCAGTTGAAAGCAGATTTCATTCGCAGATCAAGTTCATTGCCAAAAGTCAGTTGACAAAGCTGAGAGTCATGGCCAACCCACCCATAAACGTTTGTCAGCCTCGTAGTCCTCCTAACGAAAATTGATAGACAGATAAATAAAACAAATAAGAAAATAGAAGATAAAGATAAGGGCAATTACTTAATCTTATTTTGGTGTTGGAGATATCAACCCAATGGTGCCGGGGAAAATGAACAAAAAATGGGGAAAATATGGTGACCACTTTCTATGTTTTTCGTGAAATGTCTGCCGATAGATGGCTCTGCTAGCGCCTGATTTAAATGGCGGGAAAGACGTATTTTTCACTAGTGCTATGAAAATCGATGGTGCTATTTTTATCATAAACATTATAATTTCTATATTTTTTTTAACATTAGTAACAGCAAAATAAGATTACGTAAAATATTTTGTAAATCAAAGAAACGGGTAAACGGGCGAGACGGGCGGTGCTCGTAACTGGCTCACTGGGGAGTTAGTACAAGTGTTGCCATCTATGCGTAAAAACAATCAAACAAGTACTCACGGTGGGCATAGCACGTACGTACACGTCATACCCGGCACCAAGGGGTTAACAAAGGCAATTACAGTTAATCTACCTTTGGAGGCTCGGTAACAATACTCTCTTCTGATTACTTTATTTTACTTTTCACCTCAATAGTAGATGATTAAAAAAGAAAAAAGCCTGTAATATGCTAAGGGGATGTAGCTCAGTGGTAGAGCATTCGACTGCAGATCGAGAGGTCCCTGGTTCAATCCCGGGCGTCCCCTCAAATACTCTTCTTATCTTTGAATCGTCTCTGATCCTACAGATAATCACTGTTTCCCGTAAGTATTCTAAAAGGAGTATCTGACCAACCCATTTATCATTGGTACCATTTGTTTTTCAGTTTTCCTGAATTCTTTGCTTTTAACTTTTCATTTCTTTTTTTCCTCCTTTCATTTTCCTTTTTTTATTTCTATTTTTTTCTTATCTTTTTCTTTTCTTTCTTTTCCTTATAGTAAAAGCCTTGTGTTCGCTTGTTTTTGAAAGCAGTATTTGCTTTTTTGTTTTCCTGGATTTTTTGCTTTTGTTTATTTTTTTCTTCCTTTTTTCTTTTTACTTTTTTCAGTTTTTCCTTTTCCTCTTTTCCTTTTTTCCCCTTTTTCCTTTTTTTTCATTTTTCCCCTTTTCCTGTCTACATTTTTCCTTTTTTGCCCTTTTTCCCCTTTTCCATTCTCCCTTTTCCTTTACTTTTTCTTTTCCTTTTTTCTCTTTTCCGTTTCCTTTTCCTCTCCCTTCATTTTCTTTCCTTTTCCTTTACTTTTTCCTTTTTTTCCTTTACTTTTTTCTTATCTTTTCCTTTCCTCTTCTTTTCTTTTCTTTCGTTTCCTTATGGTCAGATGTCTTGTATCTAGTTAGCAAAATTATAAGATCACTTTTTGGCTTAATTATAGTCTAGTTAATGAGTTACAAAAATGCTATAGGAATAGAAAATGAGAAAGCTAATGAAAGAGAAAAACATAAACATGATAACAACAAACTGATGATATAATAATAATAATGATAATGATAATGATTATAGTTGTAATAATAATAATAATAACAGTAACAGTGATAATCATTATCAATATTATCAATATCATTATTATAACAATAACGGTAACAATAATGATAATGATGATTAGAATGATAACTGTTACAATAACAAATAATAATTAAATAATAAAAAATATAAATAATAATAATTAAATCAATAATATGAATGATGATAATAATGGTAACTATAATGGTTAAAAATTATGAAGGTTACAAAGAAATATAAATGATGACAAAAATAATGAGAAAGCGGTAAAAAAAATATAACAAGAAACATACACCTCTGCCTAAGTATACCATTAAAATATATATATATATATTATATCTATAAAAAATCTACTACCAGATACGATAAATATTTGCAGTGCACGGCAACAAATTCTTCGCGGATCAATATCATTGCCAAAAGTCAGTCGACAGAGCCGAGAGTCATGGCCAACCCACCCATAAACTTTTAATAGCGTCGTAGTCCTCCCGACAAAAAATATAAACATAAGTAAAATAGATGAGAAAATAAAAGATTAAGATGTGGGCAATTGTTTAATCTCATTTTGTGCGCGAGACAGTAACAACAATTACAACTAGATTTGATTAAAAAAAGATAACGATAGCAAAGCTGTGTAGAAGGGAAATCATTACAGAAAAGAAACGAAAGTCAGAAAAAAAACTATAACAATGAAAATGATACTAATAATGGAAATTAGGAAAACATTGTTAATAATACTGATAATAGTGATAAACTCTCTATAACATGAAAATGAGCAATTACATTAAAGACGGAGGCTCAGTAACAACGCAATGATATGGAAACTTTTTTTTACTTTTCGCCTCAAAAGTAGTGTGATCAACTAAGAAAAAATACAGCCGTCTTTTCAAAAGGGGATGTAGCTCAGTGGTAGAGCATTCGACTGCAGATCGAGAGGTCCCTGGTTCAATCCCGGGCGTCCCCTCATTTTCTTGATCCTTTTGAAAGGTATGTCTCATTCGTTTTAGGAAGCAGTATTTTTTTCTTACTTTCGTTTTTTGTGATTACCTAATTTTCCGATTTTTATGGTTTTGAAGACAAAGGTGTACATAAATACATGCGACGCAGAAATAAGAAACCAGTGTCATCCTTATGATCCAAACACAGGAAAGAACAACGAATCTGCCGTCCCATTAGAAGTCTAAGATAATATACTGTACCTTGACGAAAAGCATAAAGACACACCATTACTTTTCGCAGCGAAGTCTCTCCACAAACCTCGCCGCCTTCTTCCCCCAGA